ATATAATATATATCTATATATCGTCCAGCTATAACACCCTTTGGATGCCTAACTGCCATGCCCCCCGAAGGTTGCATGAGGGCTGGGATACTTCAAGGTTGCCCAAGCCTAGACAAAGGAAGTCGAGAGATAGGGGTCGGGTTCGAACCATGGACCTTCCGGTCAGTAAATTCACGCTCCAACCATTTGGGCCATCTCGGTTCAGATCGGTAGTCACAATTAACGCGATTCTAAGTTTACTGTGAACAACAGTGAGAAATGATGAAGCAGTGACAGAATCACTTCGCATTGACTACTACCACATTAAGAGCGGAAACCGGACTAACTGTTCCACAGTGATAGCAACTGAACTTGCTTACATCCAGTAGCAAAGTGAGAAGTTCCTGGCGATTGCCATTGTCAACCTTTTTGAGCTGCTCCGAAAAACTTTTCTGAGAAATGGACCTGAGAGAGGAAAAGGAATATGGGGAGTAATACAACATACTCTATGGGTGTATACGCGTTAGATACTTAACTTAGGAAAATATAAAAGACCATTTTCTTTCGGTTATTTGTCTTCCCGTATACCGTACTCATTGGGGCAGGCACACAGATAACTAGTGACAGTAAGAGGAGCATGATGGCGAACAGGAATCCTTGCAATAAGAGGGCCTAGTAGATAAAACTTTGAGTTAGTTCCGAACACCGATTTTCAAACATCATTCTTTTACGCGAGTCCTACCCAATACGATGCGATGGAACATCACGACAGAGGGTACAGCACGTATGTCCAGCAACTTACCATCCCAAAGTAGTTAGCTCTTCCAGTGTACCCTAAAAATGACGACAGTTCACGGGTTACGTCAAGCCAAATTAATTGGAATGAGACAGAACAATGGAGTCTTGAAACAACGCCTGTATTTTTTAACAGGATACAAAAATAAAAGAAAGATTCACATCATACAGGAAATGCGCGTGTAATGTGGATGGACTTGCACGGTACACATCCATCCCAAATCGCTTCAGAACAAATCAACTGAGGTCAACCGGGTTCACGTGGGAGAGATCGAAAATTCTACTTTTGGAAGCCTGCCTACCAGTTGTTCCGGCCAATTCAAGAGAATAACCCGCTGGATCGCCGGTACTGGCCACCAGGTGTTCTATGGAGTCATTCACGTGACCTAGAAACATGCGAAGTCGCACATCGGAGAATAGCTAAAGTAAAAAGCAGAAGGGAAGCTTATGGACAGTGAGTCATGTAAAGAAGATATACAGCGATAAGTCTAATATTGTGCCAAAGCAATCATACAGGGGCCTTAGTGGAGCATATTCGGTTGAAGAATATCACTGATGAGAGATTCAGCTTAGACCATAGTTAACACCAGCATAGTTTGCATCTGGATGGACGCACAATCTCGTAGCTGAGAAACCAGAGGACTATGCCTATCTGGCACGTCCCACAAAGGGCAAGACTGATCGTGGGCTGTCGAGGTAACCTTGTGTGTAGCGAGATGTCATGCCAGCTTAGCAGAACATTTCTACTTCTAGCAAAATGTACCCATTTGCAAACCAATTTGGTTTTGCGAGAGACTCACCTGGAACCCAGCTGAATCTCTCGTTTGTGATGTTTCCAGTAGAACATAAAGTTGACGGAAACTCGGAGACTGTGCCTACCCGATGAGCCGCAAAAAGGGCGAAACGCGTCGTAGGCTGTCGAAGAATTTTCAGCAACCTTATGAGTATTCCTAATACTACTTCTACCGCTGGTGGGATCACTGGTAGTGAGAATTACACTCCAAGACCATTTTTATAGGGATCTGGTGAAGGCAACTGAGTAAAAGTACTATGAGTTGACTATTAATTTCAGATAACTAGCAAAATAGAAAAGAAAACCTAGTGTATGGCAGAATATGGATGACTTCGAACCGTAAACTTATTCCTTCACAGAAAAAGTGCAGTCTGAAAAGTGATTGAAAATCGTCATATGAAGTGAAGTGTGGAATTAACAATACGCGTGAGTACAGACATGGTTCATAAATCATGAGTAAACTTGGTAGATATCTGAGCACAGAGTAACGGTATCTATGTACTACTGCACGGAAATTCACATACTACAGGGTTCGCCCAAGTGGTCAGATAGGATATGGGAACTAACTCAACTGCACACAAACAAGAGATTAGAAAAGCCACAACTCATATGGTATATGCTCAGAAACTGATAGATGGACTTCTCCTAGTCCCAGATTTCCACTGAAAACAAGTTTCCTTGGAGCTGTTCACGAAGCTCTGGGCCTGTCACAAAAGCATAGTGCAACTAAACCATCGGGAATATTACTTTTGGTGGGCTCAAATAGTCAAGCAGAATCACAGTAGGTACGCACTACGTTTGCACCAAAGAATATGCAGATAAGGGAATAGTTGTATGCTGTGCTACACAGAAAACTGCATGAGCCACCATGCGGATTCGTGGATACTGACTTCATTGAAAAGCAGCAGCAGGGATTCAGTGAAGAAGCAGTCACTAGACCAATGTTGCAGAACTACCAAAACGTTGTGGACTAACATATAAAAATCGGGCTTCGATAAATCAACTCGGACTTTACGCGATGAAGGAAAACTGGCATAAACGGCAAACAGATGACGATCAGTGATCACTGTAGAACCAAAAGTCAACACCTTTCTGTGTTCTGAAAGCAAAAGCAACGCTTAATCTGAGCAGTGTTGGGAACGTTACCTAACGTCACTAACACTTGGTAAGTTGACTTCTTCTCATAATAAACCGAAGTAGCTAGAGTATGGTACATCAATACTATTGTCAACAGTATACCTAAGAAGATAGTGTGCGAGGATGAAAACAGGATTTCAGTGGAGTCGAGTAACTCAGATGAAAATCCAGCCTTAAAACTGGAATATTGAATTATGTGTGGATTCTTGGAGATAGAAAGATAACGCCATTATAACGATGGATTATGGACCATGAAACAGCACGAACCTTGTACAGCCCGTACTTCTCCGACGCGATTAGGTTAGACAGCTCCACACATTTCTGATGCATTCCAACTGTTTGGTACAGTTGAACTAACAGAAACATGCTATCTGGGAGGCGACATTCGCGGAGAACATTCATCTGCATACGCCTGGATTCGGGGCTTCCGCTTAGACCCTCCATGATTTGGCAAGGAGATTGTGCTGACCAATAGTCAGACGGTGATCTGGCATCTCCAGCTTCGTTTGGTTGTTCAATCTCTTTTCCGTCCCGGTGCAGACTGTTCGTGATATTGTCTTCTCTAATGACCGGCACATCATCCTCAGATTTGCTTGGTAAATCAACCAGCCAGCCGGGTGCTGGATAAGTGAGGAGAGCGAGCAATTTTTCGGCAGCTACCTGGAAAGTTAGTTGAACATGGTCTTGAGTAACAGTAGAACAGTAATTCAGTAACTCTAATTCAACAATGCTAATCAGAAACTCGATACTACACTGCTCAGCTGAATATAAACATAAACGAGGACTGACAAAGATGAACCCACCATATTGGGTTTGTGTACGTTATAACAAAAAATCCGGTGGTTCGATTCAGAACAACGCGAAAATTCCAGCTGCCACCGAATACAGGCCTATTGTAATCAAAGGGAGGTAAACTGAAGCGTGTAGTGACTGAACTGGTGTCAGTCTTCCAGTCCTACTTAAAAAGTGGATCCCCGTCGAGGTGCAAGTTATAGGCGCTAGTGTAGTTGAAGAGGAACCACTGCACTTGGGTGCACAGTTTCTGAGCTGGAAAAGTGAACCGAACTGAAGAGGTCAGTAGATTGTGGGTAGACATGCCCCGACCTCATTATGGGCTGGTATCCGTTTCCTCGACTGTAATTACAAACTGTGCTGATATTCCAAGCCTTTTGCGAGTAGCAGTGAGTGGGGCTGTTCGGATACCAAGCCTAGCAACTGAAGAATACCGGCGCGCAGCAAGCAGTAGTCGTGAAGCCATCAAAATGTTGGTATTATCGGCTGAAGAAAACTAAGCGTTTGGAGCCCAGGTTATCCTAGCGATGGGCAACCGGTTTGATTCATTCGGAAAAGCAACACGACGGTTAGTCATGAATTTGTGAGATATGTACGATGGTAATGTCGTTATCCACACCCCAGAAATTTCACTGCGTGACGTGCGGTAATTCTCAGGCGCGCAGAAAATGTGCAATCCCAATGCTTCGGATGAATAACACGCCTGGGCAACCACACCATACACAGATCATTCTTCTGTGGCTTATCAAAGTTAAACATACTGGTCAGTTCGAATTTACTAACGTTTATCGAGATGAAATGTTACCTGTTTACGTGAACTTTTTTCAAATTTTTCAAAATAAATCGTCGTGGAAAAAAGTGTGTTAAGCGATCGCAAGAGTTTGCAAAGAATCATGATCCCGCATTGCACGTGTTTGATGTTGGTGCATACCAGTGACCCACTACTCACTGTCCACTCAGAGTATGTAGTAAGACGTACCTCTGTGTCTAGCTGCAGTTCATGTCTCCATCGCTCCAGACGATCTTCATAGGCTCGTTTCGATTCTTCCGCTTGGACTCGCTCCGTCAAACTTCGTGGTGCAGCAGGACCAGTAGGTGGAGGAGGACGGTTTTCATGTGCTTGCTTGAACCAGCCAGCGAATGCTTCCTATCGGGTGAATGACAAAAGAGATCAAATTGTTTTTAAGAAGCAAAAGTTACGTCTTAACATTAGAAAGCAGAATAGACATAGGTTCAGTGTATACTGGGGACAATAAGACCGCAACTGTGTCAAAGCATTTTGAAGGTGCCGCACTGTTCTCCCCGATAAGTAGCTGACGCATTACATTGGGTGTGGATGTTTGCATCCAACTCGTTTTGACTAAATCCGTTAAAAACCACAACAATACTGATTACGTGCGGAAAGAACTGAGTAATGAAGCTGGACCCACTCACTGTCAAGAGTATAAATTCCCTTGAGGGTTGAGCCATTTGATTAATCATGTGGGTGTTGTCTACGGGAGGCGCACTGTACTGTATAACATATCTGCTCCAGATATCCCACTATTGACCTCGTCTAAAGTATGTTTGTGCATGCCTTATCCTAGATTAAGTGCCTGCGTCGACCGTGTTCGTGTGTCGGACGATAAACCCACAGAAGAGCTGGAAACGAAGACTGATTTGCACCTTTGGGACGTATTTTTCAGCAGTAGTGCAACGGCAATGAAAGTGGAGCCTCTTGGTTAATTGAGAGCGGGACAGCCAGGCCTGCCTTGGAAACTGAGTAGTAAGTGAAGTTGGGCATCACTAGAGCACTATGCGCGTAGGTGTCGAACAATACTCATGAAACACATGATCCGATCACACCAGGCCCTTATCGCGGGTTCGGAGCTCCTGAGTGGTGGATGTGATAATTCCCAACAAAAAAAAATAGTAGAACAGCGCCTCTTGGCTTTTCAGCGCAGCTGGTTTCTCTCACAGGATGAAACTTCAATGAACTCTTCGTTATCTACAAATTTCATCCAAACAGATAATTCTACATCACATGAGCTCCATTGTTTTGGCACGGATGTTGCTGACGATTGCGATGACAATCCTATTCTTAGTAAGATAGCCGATGATACTCAATATTCAGACAGCTTCACAAAACCCAACTTAACAAATTTTATTCGGACAGCTACAACCGCTCCGTGTTCGACACTACCACCGACCTTAAACATACACTCAAGAGAAACATCACAATTTGAGGGGATACTACTGACTAGACTGAGTTAAGGACGTTTACGGTTCTGGTTGAAAAGACACCCAGTACTACTCACAGCTTACGCATCGGACGCTGGAAAATTACGAAGTCAAAAAAGCGGGTTAAACGGAAATCTTATAAACAGTTTGTGAAGCGGTGTGCACAAGTTCCCACGAGTGACTCACAGTATGAGATTTGTTACTCAACAACATTCGCAGGTGGACAGAGTCCAAGCGCGCAAATGAGTGCAAGTATAACAGACGCTCACCTGGCTCTCCAAGTACAAAAGCAAACACTCGTGCTCGCGAATCGTATTAACTAGCCAAGAGGGGGAGCCACAATCTTCACAGATTATCTTCGCCCGTTCGAGGGTGCCAGAAGGCAATTTCAGGAGAACCTAACAAAGAAGACCGAGATGGGGGGAAGAAATCAGTTCGACTGGTTTGAAAGACCAAATGAAACAATTATAAGCACGGGATAGGCAACGCAGAACCAACCAAATCTTTCGGTGTGCACTACTTCGATGCTAACATCTCTAGCACTCAACCTACGAAGTCTCATGGAAGTTAACTATTGTGATAACGAGTAACAACCCGTCAGCCTGACAAGCTGTCTTGAGGAAAACATTAGCACAGAAGACGTTCGCGGAACAGATCAAGTTATGCATGGACTCCACTGGGCAACAACAATCAATGTATAGAGAATCCGGAAAACAACAATTAAACAAATGCACATCAGGATAATAAAGACTGAGAATTTCTGAAGGTGAGACCTACGGATTCATAATGGGCGAACTAAAAAACACCGAGCGTGCAACACAAGAGCAACTGAATGCAAACCCAACAGGACGTCCACTCAGGAAAGATGCTACCCCGAATACAGTGTAATTCGTTCTCCGAAAGTAGTTAATCTCCTCAGGAGTCACAATAGCGTTCCTCCTCATTCACCATCTCGAGCAGGATTCCCTTGGCTTTTCTCCACAGAACAGCTACATACCCCCCGCTCCCATTCACTATCAGAGTCTCTTCCAGATAAATGGAAGCACGACAAGAAAAATTGGAAGTACACGAGCAACAAGGTAGATAAAAGAGTGGTTTGGCAAGTGGAAGCGGCTGGTACTCAAACTTGACTGCTGGTTAATGTTTCAAATGTTTTACGCACAATTGTCGATAGCAAACTGGAAGAAAAATACATGCTTTGTGTTTGTAGCCTGTTCGCGTCAACCTGGCCCACCAAATTTTCTGGTACCTTCATTTTGTCAGATTTGGAAAGCTTATTTCTCCTTCATTAATACCCAAATGAATCCGAAGCGTCCCTGCATTTATTATTCACAGCCTTTCGGTGCATGTTGCTCAACCATTCGAAAGAAGGCAAAGTCATATAATAAGAGACAACTTTGATCTGGATAGCACCAGTCGTGAAGCTTGGAGTAGAATCATGCTGCATGCACCGTGCTTAGTTTAGGTTTCGCCAGCTCAAACGTCAGAACGGTCGTAAAGGGTTGAAGGTGCTGAATGACCAATCCTGGCCTGAAAGTTGAGGACACATCATCCTTTGTGTGCCCTTTGCCCAGACCACATTGACAACAGCTTGAGCAATCCGATTCAGGCGACCTAAATAACACAAATCCAGGAAGTAAGTTGCTTACGAGTACGAATGACAAAGTACAACCACTGGGAACCATAAACCAATGCTTGCTGAATGCCTACAAAAGGATCGAACAGCCAATATGGTGGGTTGTGTGTTCGGGTTAAAACTGGAAGGGAAAGTACCTTTTGAGCAGCCTTCAGTGAATTCATTGCGATAAAAGTTCTCAGAAAGCTGTTAACCAAGATTAAGGCCTCTCCACGCTGTCTTGGATCGTAGAATAACCAGTCGAGAGATGATAGCCGCATGCGATTTACTTCTGACAAGTTTTCCACCTGGTCTTCTTGCAGAAGCGCAGCAATACCCATCTTTTCTATTGTAATCAACCGATCATCTGCCGTCTTTTGATCATTAGGTGGAGTTGTATCGTCATAAGGAACCAACATATGCTGTTCCCGTAGCAATCGTACCACGGCTCGAGTTAAACACTGCACATCAAAGCCGGCCTGCGCGGCCAACTTAAGGCAACGCTCACGTTCGGTAGAATCGATGATACCTAAAAGGAGCAAATAAGTGATTCAGGAGCGTTTAACAATCACAATGATGATGTGCGGTGTAGCCGACCGGATTTCCAGATGAACAGAGGAAAACTAATTGGTCATAAATTTAAGCGGCCATTTCATATAGGTTGGAAGGAGACCGTTATGCACCAGTGAATCGAACCAGTTGTGCAGGTGCTCCGAACTAATTGGGAACTTGCACAGTAAGCGGAGAGGATATTATGACGGATTTATAAATTCAGTGAGCTGAGCAATTTCGCTGCAAAGATTTTGTCATCAACTGAGGTGAAGTAGTGAGCTGGCCATGGGTCGGACCTGAAACCTGAACCAGATGTATGAAGCAATCACTTATTTGCCAGTTTTCATTCAAATTGCTCAGACAACTCAAAGTAATGAACACCAATAACTGAGTCACCTTTTTCTTTCGTAGCAGAGCCACAAACTGAACTTATGGGTGGTCAGTTTTATCGGCTACTGTGATGAAGACCTGCTATCAAATCCAAATTGTCCTCACCAGAGACGCCCGAACTTACAACGAACAGAAACAAGCCATTAAGGTGCCCAATTAATCCAAACGAATTAAACCTAGGAAAAAGCAACGGAATGATGCCTTTTTAGGACAAATGAATCTGATAAGACTGGAAAGGATAGGAACGTCTCATCGGCCACATCTTTAAAGAGAAAAATAAAAATAAGGGAAGCCGGCGACGCTTGACTATGGTAAGATATAGGTAAATGTTTTAGTTAAGGTGAAATCGGTTCAGGTGAACGATCCTAGTTAGTCGCGTTAAAAACACTGCTTTAACGTGAGGTATAACCTAGGTCAAAACCGTCAAGAAGTTCCGTGGATACCTAGTCGAAACACCCATAAAATATCCTCACAACTTTGAGAACAGTAACATCATGTGACGTATGGCAGAGTGCAGCTCAATTAGAATGGACACAACGGGATACTGCCGACAAATTAAAGGGCATCAATCAACCGCGGCCGGACCACTTTCTATTCATTTGTTGGATCGTTTCACTTGGCAAAGTCATCCACTAAACGGGCTACTACATGGAAAACGCGACTTTGCCTTGAGAAAAAATTCATCAGCTTATTATCATGTTGGGGGAAAAAGTGCACCGTAAGGCCGTGTCATCAGCAGTTGTCGGCACACTCCTAAACATATAACAACCTTGAAGATCTGGTACCTTTTTCCTGACCAATGAACGCTGTGACGAAACCGGAACAGTGAATCATAGTAGTCACGTGATTGGAATTAGGAGAGCCCAAGGCAACTTGCGTGCAAATATGATTTCTTCAATACGACCTCTCGAGTAGACTTAACGGTCGCTGTATACGTCACAGCGTAATAAAAGACATATGGACTTGATGAAATAAATAAACGATTTCTGAGTAGTGCGGATTATTCGAGATTGGCAGGGCATCGGAAGATGAAAGTAGTCCCTATTATGGAGGAAATTAATAATCTACTAATTATATATAGGGCAACCCTTTTAGAAGCCTGAGATTCCCTCAAGTTTCAGTTGAATCCAGAGGATCATGGAAACGACCCGATGTGTGAGATGTCCCATAATATGGACAAAACATGAACACTCGAACCCAATGACTCATATACACACCAAAATACAAGTAAACAAGTATAATATGCGGCGAAACTCTACGAGCTACAATATGCAGATCACCTACCTGATAAATACGAAGAGTACCATTCTAACCGTACGGCACTGGTGGGTAAAGTTGCTGTGTAGTTGGCAATCAACTCAATACGGTGGTCAGTCATCAGAATGGACAGATACGCCTTGATTATCTGGGCACATGGTTCGTCCTGAAGAGAAATAGAGGAGTACATGAAGCAAACGCTACACTGAACTCAGAAAGTTTGGTGATAGTGTCTCAGGAAGAATATAGGAAAACGGACGAGCGGTCGCAACGAAATCTGATATAAGGGGTTTTCCGTAACTTTAAAAGCATATCCGGTAATAAAAGAGACATCACAGATGCTTCCCAACAATAGGCATACGCTCCACAAATCCATATTTTTCCTTTACAATACGAAATGCTTAAGCGTAATACACTACTCATAAGGTTGTAGTAATGTATTACGTCTTTGCATGTATCGCGACATCTCAAACATCGTACCAATTGAAACATGATGCAGCACATTCATTTGCTTAAAAAATCATGAACGAGAAATTGGTATGCAGATGTGTGTATTTCGCAAACATGAAATGTTGTTTTATCAAAGTCACTTATGATCCCATGTGAGAAGCGCTTTGAGACACCAGAACGAAGGTGGGGGCACTTACGACCGCAAACTGTATCCCCAAAACTCGGGTCGGAAATAATGCGTCTTCCCATTCTGAAACACCCGTAAAAACCCGTTCAAATTTTTCAGCCCAGAGTTCAGTTAACTTGAGAATCTCACATAGTGTGTCAAGTTTGCAGAATGGGTGACCGGGGAATTTCAAGGTTGTGCAAAATGATACAACCATTGTTGGTCACCTCTAGGACCAGCCGGCAACCGAGCTTGAAAGTGGCAAATAATTGAATAACTCGGCAAGGAAATGCCGAGTTCTAAGACAATATTTGCAAGGACAAGCCATGATGAGAGCGGAGTAAAAGGAACCCAGCCATAACCACCCATTGGTCAAGTTTTTCCGCAACCAACCAATAGATGATTAGCTCCAAGAAGGGCGAACAGGTCGTGGGCTGTCGAAGAGTTTTCAGCAACCTTGAGAGTAGTTTCCCTCATGAAAACCAATAGGCAGGTTTTCCTTCCGCGATCAAGCCCAAAACATGGATTGTAAACGCACGCGAAGCAGCGGTCGATCGATTGCACTCAGCCCAGAGATAAGGGGTTTTCCAAAGTGTCAATACTTTTGGATGTTGTCCCGGGCGCGCTTTTCAGAAAAAACCGTCAAACTAACCAAAAATCACTTTGGGTAGAGTAGTTTGGGTGTGGCCCAATACAAAGTACAGCTATATACCAGTAAGTCTTTTCCGATGTGTTTTCGAATTCTCTGCCAAATGATACGTGGAACGTAATAACTCTAGTTCCTGCGGCCAAAATTGACTGTTGTCAGAAATGATGTACCATCATCATCGACAGTCAAATAGACCTTGAAAATCACGGAATACTAAAATTGTGAGTCGGTTAAACGTGCGGCGTTGTTCTAACACCTGACAGTGTGAAGATTCGATAGATCTAACCCGTAGCAAGCCGGAATCCCGTTTGTTGCTCTTGAGTCAGTGCTCCACGTTCCACCATAAGACAACGAAAGACAAGTGACGTCAGGAGTCTTGTTACGACTGGGTCAAGCTGATCCCCATAAGACTACCGCACTCAGCACGGTCCTCTGATTTGATAACGGACAATATAAACGATTCTCTGTAGTTTTCTGGAAGTCCGCTTTCTCCAGACATAGGCAAACAAATCACGTAAGCGCCAACTGAGAACTTCACTGCTACCGTTGAACAAAACGCGTAGTAGGTCATCCGGACCCGGAACTATAGAGGAAAATGTTGGTAGCTCAGGTAGCGTAGATGGTGGTCGTTGGCTTGTTCGCTGAGCTGGGCAATTTGATTGCAAACGTTTCATCACCAATCGAGGTGACATCATCAGTGCGTTATTGTGGAGCGTAGTAGTGCGTAGCTACCATCACCTCGATTGGTGATGAAACGTTTGCAATCAAATTGCCCAGCTCAGCGGACCCGGAACTCGCTGGCGCTTGAGAAGACATGTGAAGTCATGAACATCCGAGGTCATAAGGAGTTCCAGTTTCACCACCCACAGATCTGATTCAATTTTGGGATCCAACTGATTGGCAACAAGTGGCTACGAGAATCGTTGTTCAAAGCGACCGGCTAGGTGGCCTAGAATTCGTTTGTTATTCAGAATGGCCAGGCCACTTTGATCCCTGATGGTTTCGCTGCCAGGCGGTTTGCGGTGGTCGGTCCATTCCCTTAACCTTCCCTGTTCACCAGGCTTCATGGCCAGCCAACTGACTAAGCTTGAACGGGCGTCGGATAATTTGTCGGACTGAATTGTGCACAATGTCAGTGGGGACATTCCACCGAGATTCAAGCAGTACCACTATTCTAACTGATAATCAGAGTTTGAGTGGGCTTGGTAGCATCGTGCCGCGGGCGAACATCCTGGTATTGTGGCGACTTGCTCCATCACGAATTCAGATCCAACAGTGGAGCAGAGGGAGATTCTGATAAATTAGTCTGCTAGTTTCTCGGTCGCTGAGTGATTCATCCGCACTGTAAGAAGTTCCGGTAAACGAATAGACAACCGCCTCTACAGGAACTCATGTTCAGAACTCCCACAGGTGTTCTAGAACGAGGGGTAGTTAGTTATTGATTCACACCATCGGTAACTGATGGCGATGTGATCAAATTGGGTCCGTCGCTGGCAGGCTGCTGGAGGCTGGAAGTTAGTACTGCATAAAAATACCGGCAGTCAGCACACAACTGAAGCAACCGTTCCTCATCGACCGTACGTACCTTGTCCGATCCAAGTTTACGACCTTATTGAATTCCAGATGCGCTAAATCTGTGCACCCAGATCTCAGGCAACAACTACGATTTCTGAGGCTTTAGCTCGCCGCATTAGGGCAGTCGCGTTTCATACAAATTGCCTTGAATGGGATCAGAGATTCAGTCGGTTGGTGCATAAAAGAAAACGACGACAATTAACTTCCACCTGTGAGATCCCTTCATGAATGTTGTCAGGCAAACCGCACAGGGGCGACTACCTATGGGTAGCCAGTCAGACGAGAATTATTCAGTCCGGTGACTTAGCAAGACGTCGATCCCTGTACATCCTACCGCAGCGGCATCTGGATAGCCCGAAATATGCAGCCGGGAGTGGATGGACGATGATGAGACTGTTAGTTCAATCACTGTGCCAGCATCTTGAATTCTTGTCTCTGAGGTAGGCAGAAGAAAAAGTAGTTGAAAGAAGAAGGCAGCAGTGCTAAACTCCTTTTTTTGACGCCCTGCTGTAGGGAGCAAGTAAGGTTAGCCACGTGACGGTCGATGTGCCACAACTATTGCTGGCTGAAGGTGTCATGGTTACGCGTGAGCATGGATACTGCCGGGGCTCCCACACCTAGACAAGAGGACGATAAGGGTCCTTTAGAAAAGCCTTCGGATCGAGATGCTGGCAACACTGCGGTGATCACCGGAAAATGCCAGCGCATTATCTTTTTCAGAGAACAGCTCAAAACAAATGTTCTCACCACCAACCTGAAGGACTGGGAGACTGCGTCGGTGAGAATGCTAACCATTAAATAACCTGGTATGAGAAACTCTGCGAGTTTCGCACGAACACCCTCCACAATAGTTCACTGGGTCACGAAGGCAACAAACATTCATACTAAGGTAAGGTACGGCCTGTTCGTAGTGGAAAAGCATTGGCGTGACAGATTTGGTTCTAATTTTGTTCTGATGTTTATGGGTGAACCGTTTCGATCAAAGGAATACCACCTGAAGAATCGCGAAGCTGTCAAAGTTACCCCTTCTTGGTGCATAGACCATTATGTGGGACGACCTATTGTTAGGTGACAGAAATCCAGACAAAAGCATTTGGAAATCCACGTCTGAGTTCGAATCATGGTTCTTTAGACCAAGAGCGCGAACCTCAACTGGTTAATCAAACATTAGTAAAGACTTTTATTTCAGTAGCAAGATTTTGCAGTCAACCGTCACGCTTCATCCTCTAAGCGAAGTAAATCGTTGCTGAAAGAGCGATAAGCAGTTGGCAGTCACCAACCATGCACGCCTCAAGGACCTCAGGGACGAGACGAACACCGTACTATGCAGACATCATAAACAGTGTGAATAATTCAATTGAGAACATAATATAACATCATACTCTCCGCCGACCTACCTGAGCGGTCGCTGGCAGTCAACAATTCCCCCTATCACATCAAGGTAATAGTTGTTGGCTTGAACGGTATCACAAAGAAATTCGAAGAAAAAACAATCCTATCATATTAAAAGTTGTTCGCTCACGCGAGGACTTTATGTTTCAGGTTATTTTATTGTCCACTTCGAACTGCGCTCGGTGGGTTCGAAAACTGTCTATAATGATAGTCGTTTTAGCTAACGGTGTGTTATTGCATAGGTGAGTCCCGAACAAGAAAAACACAATGCCATTCACAACTTGGATTTACCATTTGTGTAGTCCACAAATGTATAGAAAAACTCACGGGGATGTCTGGTTCGACAGATCGCAGAAAGAGGATGAAGTGTGCTAGGAAACGAAGTGCTTGACAGACAATCGGGTTTTTGGTACTGGAGGTCCTCAAAGCAAACGGCGGTCTCAGAGTTAGGCTTTCGTCGGCGTTAGAATAGCCTGTGGCGGCTTGAACTAGCCGAGGCATGACACAGGCGACGGCCTTTAGGTAGGCTAATAGGAATGGAGAAAAACAGAGGAGCAGATACAGAGATGAGTTAAGCCTAAGTCAAGACAAAACTTTTCCCAAGAGGCATATGTAGATAAACAATGATTTCGTAAACTGAATAAAGCGATTAAAATGCTAGATATAGATTTTGGACACGTTCCCCACATCTCGGCAGTGATTGGGCACTCAAACCTAACAATTGCTTGGGAAAGCTGGCCCATCTCTAGGTGTACAAGTTCTCCCCGTTTCGAAACTTATCATATCAACTTTTACTTTCTAACAACTTACACCAGATCTCTTCGGGTATCTGGTCCATCACAAATAAGGTCCTCCAACGGTAATGACAGATTTCTACCGTTAATTTATTAAGGAGAGACACGGTGAATCATGCGTGGGGTACAAGTTTGATAGAAACTTCATCCGTACCTTAGTTGGTAGAATACCCGCGCGTTAAGCGGGAGGTCGATGGTTCGAGTTCACTCCAGGCGTGTCTCTTCGTTTGTGATATTTGACCAGGGACTTTTCATTTCCATATCTACCATCGGAGTTCTACTTTCTTGTGCACCAGCTGTTATAGATCGAACGCATTTTTTTAAATAGACCCACTTGTATGTACATGTCTGCTGAGTGTTTTGTTTCAGGGTGTGAGCACCAGTCCTCTGTGACGTATCGGAAGCACAAGGATTTGCAAATTCTGTGCAACTAACAAGTAAACTGAAAACCCCATGCCTCGTTGCTCATAAAAAAACTGAAAGTGTGAAGACCGAAAAGCATTAGCATTTAGAAAACAGACTAATTCACTTAATCGACAATGCCTCGTTGTTTGTGAGGAATTACTTATGCGAAGGGGACACTTTTTTCCTTCTAACATTTGAGTTGGAACACCAAACCAGCCAAACCAGTTGCGGTTCGCGTGCGGAAGCAGAGAAATGTGAGTTCATGAGCAAAACGATACGGGAAGGATCCTTATTCATTTCTACCTTTCACGTGGAAAATACTACCAGAAGGTAACCAGAACTTCACACTACGGTCACGTTCGCATCGGAAGGATAACTAAGATCACCTGCAGTTGCTTTGCAAGAGTCCAGTGGCCGTCTCAACGCCATGAACGTGTCCACCCCATCGTGACCAAACGCTCCAGACAACAAATCCGTTTCAGATGGATTGTCTAGGTAGAGAATTCTCTAAAGGGGATTTGATTTTCTTGATCACGAACACACACTAGTCTAATCATCGTAGCTGAACTTCACTTCAGTTGGTTTACACGCATACAGACACAGACATATAGACGCATATGCACATACATATTGGACAGTACTCACAGCTGATGCAATAGTCAGATGGATCAATTTTACATATAATCTTGATTGACTTCAATCTCACTAATGATACCTGGCGGGTTTGTAAGCACGTGTAGGGGACGAAAAATCAGATACTNACAGTACTCACAGCTGATGCAATAGTCAGATGGATCAATTTTACATATAATCTTGATTGACTTCAATCTCACTAATGATACCTGGCGGGTTTGTAAGCACGTGTAGGGAACGAAAACTCAGATACTTTGTCACTCGATGCATAGCACTGGGCTCGGTGCTCCCTAATCTTGCTCACTTTTATAAATGCCGCGATGAATTCAGGAACGACTCAAATGTTCGGGGTTGACAACTCCTTCAGCAAAGATTTGATATCTCTTCATCTATTTCATTTTTATATGGTTCTAACCATCAGGAGAGAAGAAACCACGTTTCGCTGGTTCGCTGAAGAGCACTTCAACAGTAAAATCCTCCCAGAGGAGACCACATTCTCTCTTTCTCGTCAGGTGACCCTTCCAGGGATATAGGTGTTTTGTGTAACAAACGTTTTGGCATAAATTTCGACTTTATGACATGCTTTCTTCTCATGAATTTAAGTGAATTGTCTGCTTATTAATAATCAAGTCTTCAGTATCCCTCGACGTAAACAGTTATAGTAATCGTACTTAATACCAAGCCAGTTTTTATTTCTGTATGAAAGTGAGCCTAAAAACAATGATCTATATGCTTCCAGTGGTGTGAAAGCAGAGTGAGACTCTACGGAGTTAGGACGGAAAATATTTGGAGAAAAACTGCTGGGACTTGGCATGACAATCCAATAATGTCGTTATTTACTTATAAACCGATGCGACATTTCAGCACATATTTCATCAACAAGATCATCGAAATCCGTTCTCCAGGATACATGCCTTCAAAGATATTAGATAGAGTGGACTTATGGTATGGGGAGTGCGGGGCCGTGACTCTTCATAGGAAGCACATGCAGTGATAAACCACCAATTGTTAGGAGTGGAATGATGCAGTCGTTACCACTGCTCCAGAAGTTAGTACATTTCTCAATATTTCATTTCCTGGGAACTTGGATCGTTGACAGAATGCGTATCTTGTTTTCACTTTTGAAGCAGACAAATTGAGGTTCTGGGACGTCGAATGCGTACTGACCAAAAAGCGTATTTCTTTTCTCTGTACAAGAAAGAACTAAGTTGAAAGTTCCAATGTTTCTGGTATTGCGATCCCTATGAACCTCTACTTTTGGTCAATTAATCAAGTTGTGAAATTACTATCCTATTAATTCGTCGCTTGAAGAGCTTGACATTTTCCAGCAGCAAACGCGGTAGAGACACCCTGCTGCATTCCCTTTCCGTTAGTGTGTCTCATGCTTTTCATTGATCCCAAATTCTGCAACTCAGCAGCTGGATTGTTCAGTATTACATTCATACGTTAAAACACGCGGTCTGCTTCGCTCGGAATACTGATATTCCTAGCACCATATGATTGCCAGCGATGATCTGATGGTATGTATGGCTATGTTTTAACTCAGTCTTAAACGAACACATGAACTCGAATTGGAGGGAAAAGTTGGAGGGTGGTGAAGTTGGAAGCGGTTGGAGACTGAGACTGAGGTGACGGATTTTTATGGGACGCAATAAACGACAAAAGACCCGTCTGGCGCCTCAAGGAATACCTAACATGAGGTGGCCTGGTGAAGCACATTCAGTTGCCTGAAAACATCACAAACGAGTCTCTCGAAAAACCAAATTAGTTTGCAAATGAGTGTATATTCGCTAATTTCGTGCAATTTGTTTCAAATAGAACACAAGGTTGGCGGAAACCCGGGGACTGCGCCTATCTGATGAGCCCCAAAAGGGGGAAAACCGGTCGTGGGCTGTCGACGGATTTTCAGCAGCCTTATGAGTAGTACATCATAAAAACCTAACGTAACCCAAACAACAGAGTAATGTGTTGACCAAAGCGTCCGCAATTCAAATCCACCCCTTTATCTAGCCATGGGTACTTTGTTAGCATCTTCTCTCTCGTGATCCTGCAGGGTGAATTGTGACTATGCAACACAACAATGATCAAAGTTAGGCTACCACTAGATCAACAATCCTTCACGAAAGACCGTGTCTTAAAATGGTGCCTCGGATTCTGTATTCATATTGAGCTATGCTGCGAAACGCAGTTTTTGCCTTAGGTTTTTCTGACGTAGAAATTGGACAGTCTTCTGGTCTTTAGTTTTGTAGGTGAATCTGTGTAGCAATACGTGCAATAAGAGATATACTACTCCGACATCCTTACGTTTTTTGGAAAAACTCTTCGGTTGAAGACCTTAATCATCTGCTTATCTATTTTTAGGCGCCCAAGTGGAACCCCGACTATAACACACGCCTCACATACGCCAAAAGAAGTAACCGTAAGCCGACTAGGCCGTCGTGCACCAATGAGTCCGAGCGTGGGCGACCACACCCAGCTATTTTTCATCTGACGAAATCTAACTGTGACGAAACGCATAGTGGGTTTCTTTTCCAAGACTGATTGCTTCTGATATATTGTATATCAAACCAAAAGGACCCATTGACGAAGCGGTAATAAGTGCTATCAGGCGTATCACGTGACAGCAGACCGACTAATATAAGGGAATTGGAGAGAGCAACGTCGTATTACCGCTTCGTCTTGGGAGACAAATTACTCATTTCAAGGCCCGCAAAGTGACAGCTTGTGGACTAAAAGGCAAAGTATGAAAAACACTTAATTTTCCTCTCTAATACTGTGTCGATTTATGCACCGGTGTTCCGATGCTGTGATCGCTTCGAAGTGGTCAGTTTGTCAGGACTATTTACAGGACTTTAATAAAAAAAAGTGTATACAAAGTGAGCGGAAACTTACGATCATAGTCACGCGTGACAACAGTCTGTTGTGTCGCGTAAAGTATACAGTAGAGGAGAACGGAAAGTGAGGGTTCTCCGGTCATTCCTTTCTCACCAGGGGCAACGGTCGAGGGGACTTGGGCGCCATCGTCCCACAAAAAGTCGCCTAAGGCAGAGCGCCTTATAGCATCCAGTTCAACGGAGGATGAAGCTTGTAGGTAGCTTAGAGCAGACCAGCCCAGGCACGACTCAACTTTAGAAAAGGCATCTGCGGCCGTCCAATCTTTGGGTGCCCAAGCCACGTCTGGAAGGGTAAGACCACCATCAACAGGCCACAGAGGTTGTGTCTTCCCCGTCAATGCCTGGATTAGAAGACAGGTGGTGTCCTTTAAAAGGTTTCAGGAGCGAATTGAAACCACAAAATGAAAAGCATACGTGTCAAGAAGGCATGTTAAGAGCGCTGGGTGACCTCTGGGCAAACGGGAGGACAGGGAACGTAGGTTCGAAAACTACCGACACAAACGTTTACAAAGGTCACAATTTAGACGATAACCTACTTCTTTTGAAAGGACTACAATAAATGCCCAGAAAGGACGGCAATATAGCTATACTAACCATTCGCCAAAGGCTTGATGCAACCACAGCGTGAAGTAGACAAATCATGGACAAAAATGTTCATGAATCTCACGGAACGACTTCATGCACGGATAACTTTTGTTGATTAAAGAGAGTCGCAGCTGAATGTCCCTGAGGCAGATTATATCGAGTTCTTTTTTACAACCTTTTCTGTGGAAATCGCTCCCATAATCCACCAGTTTTGAAAGCTAATCATAACTATATCCCCTAACAGTTAGGAGTAAGTGGTCTCGCAGGTAATTTCGAATCGTTTATAGTCTCGACTCAGATTCACCGCAGTGCGACAAATTGTCTGATCATGGTATGGATGCACACTATACCGTAGTCTTCACTGGAGGACGAATGGGATCCGCTGTCAAAGACCCTGGCTCAAAATCCACGCTGTGGTGCAGCGGTGTCGGGCTGCCGCGGCAAGGGAACAAGTAGGGAACAAGTCATACGTTTGTTAATTGACCCCTCTGGTAGAACAGATAATGCGGGAGGGAAAAGGCACTAAATAGTATAACTCGACTTGTAAAGGGGGCGTACAAGTCACACGACGGTACACCTCAGTTCTGTGGTGGTTGCCAAACAGTTTGTGGTTCACTCTAATTCACGTAGAGGCAAGGAACATGACCTGTTACAACGCACAGGTGCGCAGGAAACAGAAGCCATTTTCACTCCTTAGCAGAATCTGGCGTGTGTGCTGATAGCAAGCCAGATAGTGGCACACCAAACCCGACTACGGATTGACGACAGCAAGCCCTATGGGTGAGTAACGAAAGTGACCTATGAATGGTTTGGAACACCAGTCAGCTCAAAGCACGGCCAAATATAGATAAACTGATGGCGTCGTATAGTTAGCTGAGTATACGGAATTCCTACCGGCTGTTCGCCGTTCAGCTCCATGATGATTTTACAACACAATCCACCGATAAATAACCAGAAAAGAGAGCTTGCAGGAGATGAAGCAGGAAGCCTTTGAACCGTGATGACTTACCAGTGTGTCGGCCCTTGGGCCTGTATGAAGCAAGCTGCGTAATTTGAAATCCACCCGAGATTCCACGAGAGCGCGAAAGTGAGCCCATGTAAGATCGACCCAGGAAGCTGGCAGCGTGCGTGTTAGTACGCCCAGATTGCCGGAGAGTGCAGCATAAATTGCTCGCTCATACGGGGGTAGGGTGGACTTGAGGAGATGAAAAAACAACATTAATTCGTTCTCAGATTCACTATACCATTACCTGGGCATATCTGGCATGCCACAGGTAGCAGCGGAAAATTCAATCAACAAGAACGGCGATTCAAATGTGATACATCCGTTCAAGACGATGTTTACACTACTTTTTTTAAATTGGTTATACTGGACATTAAAAACAAAATCATAACTTGAGGTTAACCCATAAATAAGGCTTATACACTATCGCTTTTCGGCTATACTCTTTGAGAAGGGTCGGTTCTTGTTTGTCATCGCTGTTGGCCTGTATCCAGTTGTTGAACTCCTAGATACCATGAAAATTTACTGTTCCTTTGGCTAGGTATATGATGAACACACTTATGTTGCATTCCGTAGTCGAAGGCAACCTCCAATAAAACGTGACTCCCAACTGCTGCATTTTACCGCGAGAGATACTGAAAGGAACTATCCAGAATGTGAACATACTCACGGAAAGGTGCTTAGACAGGTTTATGCATTCTACAAGTCATAAAGTAGCCTTCGGTAAAGATAAGCTGGTGTAGAAAATCTGAGTTTTTGGTGCTGGAATAATGGAGTCTTGAAGAGCAAATGCTTCACCAACGTTGAGGAATTGTGTTTAATGCTGACCTCCAAAGACACATTTGAGCAGACATCTCCAATGACAGGTTGTCTTCTTGTGGAGTATACAGCAGTTTTCTGGCGCGAAATCCCTCCGCAGAGGGACTGCTGTCCTAGAAAGAAGTGGGATACTCATGTAATAGTCGGTCTTGAGGAGTCTTGAACACAAGATCGCAAAGGTCATGCTAGTGATTAACGAATTATACGGAAATGCAGCTAAACACAGGCCACTCTGGAGGCATATGTGGCACAAGTGAGCGACAACGCGGCGGTTTTACACAGGATGACTAATTACTGCATCCTATCAGCTAAAAATGCAGCCACATGCATTTCGACTACAGTTCGAATAAATTAAGGTGCATCCGGTTCAAACCTTCAGTGTCGAGTCAATCCAGTTATTTAGAATTTCGCCTAGTTTTCAATCTTGATAATGGACAGTACATGGGTATCTGTTGCTGTTAGGCAGGAATCCACGCGGATTCCACCATACCGCACGTCTTTAGGCGCTGCTACGACCGAGAAGCCTGGCCCGCTCGAGGTTGGCCCAGAATTCGGGACACTTGCCGGTCCGGCATCAAGGCGAGATCTGATTGGTCAACAATCTGGACCCAACAGCCAATCATGACCCAGTATTGGCTAAGTGCCGGTTGCCAATGGCGCTCCAGAACGCGTCAGAAATTCCAGAAAGTTATAGCCGCTTACGCTATATATACGAAGCGCTGTACAACTGTTCCTGATTTCGTTTTGGGCGTTAATAGACCTTGTGCACCTTTGGTGGTTGTTTTGACGCGAACGCTAGCTTGGGAGGCTCAGACCGAGAACTAAGCTGAGGAAAATACCGTTACTACAGCTGCCACACTGACCTTTGTATATGGAGCAGAAAGGCAACTCGGGAAAAAAGCAGGGAACTGCAAACACCTCTGTTTAAAGCTAGAATGGTATAGTAACCCTACTGGGTAGCACATGGTAACCTCAAATGCAGCAGCACAAAGCCGTAGAGATAGTGGAAACAACCCAAGTAAAACACCTGTACTCACATTTTCCGCATTCCACCATGCAACTGATTTATACAGTATCCGATTCACATTACCCACAATTTCCTCCGGCTCCGGAGAAACGGGCGCTTCGACTTTCGCTACTCGTGTGTGGCTCCATTTGTTGTTCAGTTGCCAAATATCTCCCTCTGTCACCTCCATATCACCAAAGTCTGTATACGGTGGAGAATTCGGTGTTAGGCGAGAGCAATGAAATAGCCTCCATCCTTCAAGAGAAACCGCACGCCAGAATTCACCGCGCTGCATGCATAAACGTTGAGCCTTTGAAAAAAAAGAGAAGACGGAGTAATAAACGCGACTCGTGGCAGGCTAAGGGGACCGGGACAACACAGTCATGTTGACCAACAGCCAGAGAACATATATGGAACATTCATGGCGTCTTTCAATAACAATAAACGGTGCTAAATTGATAAAAGAGAAAAAGTACTCAGCCGATGGTTTGTTCATTTATCAAACGAGTTAGCATAAACCGCAGCAACAAGTGTGTTCCGCTAATGCAAAGCCACGTTAATTTGAAGAATAAACCTACGTAGTCTCCGATGAACATTAGACTCGACTTCACCTAACGAATTCGCGGTACGACATACCTGGTACTTAGAACTGATGATTGCAGTTATCAGACAACCTGCAATAACAACTAGGTTATAGCTTCCTTCATTACACGACTTCGCACTTGTGACCGAGTATTCGCCGAAAATTCGTTAGCACACCTGTATCCTAGATGAATTAATCGGAGGCGATGAACGTAAAGAACACAACCACACGTATTTGCCAAGTTTTGAGTATATGTAACATGTGCACTCATTGTTATGGAAGAGACGTCCACTCACCCGTTGTAGATCTCCCCCACGAATACACAAAAACAAATAATTCAAGTAACGGTCATTCGTCGTCTGATCTTTTGGGTGCCATTGAGTCCCCGTACAATGCGTTGCGTCGGGATGCTGAGGAGACGGAAAAGTAAAAACAGAACATAAGATTTGAGCAAGAAACAGATTCAAGGGGGTATAAAAACCGGATTAGTAGGCCTGTGCATAGTTGGAAAAAGATGGTGTAAAAACCTCTTCTACGTCACAAATTCAACACACACCATGGGACCAAGTTCATATTTCTGTAATTAAAGTTTGCTCATCCAATAGTGTCGTTAAAGTCAGTGATTTAGAATTACCCAGTTATGGTCATCAGACCTACATCTTTTATGTGTCCTTTGATCGAACTTCCGCATGCACACACAAAGACAAAGGCACATAGAGACCAATTCATTCCAAACTAATCCAAAGGAGTTGAAGTCTGAAGGTGTGCGATGTCATGAACGGTCCATAGGAGAACGGTCACATTCAAAAATGAGTGGTGTTACCAGTGTACCAGTAAACCGCGAAGTCACTTGTGTGCAAACGAACTGAAGTCAGTTACGGCAACCACCAATCTGGTATACGATTGTCCCACGACTATATCACGACTGGTTGCACTAGGGTACCAAGGTGAGCATGTGTAAGATAGATTGTATTGTCTGGTTCTCCAACAAGGCCGTCCGGGATGCGTGAATTGTCAACATGGGAGCGCTATTAAGGGGTTGAGGGGTAGACGAGTGGAGTCCGTTCGTAAGACGCGATTCTCTGCCAGCAGTCAACAAATAAGACTTGAGTAATTCTTTCCGCAAAATCTAACACACCAAGCCTATAGCTCCCGAAACATTTAGAAGATGCTCAGGCTGGTTCACAAAGAAAAACACCGACAAAATTAACTACTTTATGAAGCCCGCACAACAACATACAGCTGGTAACGAGTAATTAGCAACAATTTCACAGAATAGAACCATAATAAGACTCACCAAAACCGTCGGTAAATTTCTGGATTTCAGTTCTGATGCTGAGAGGAAGCTCAATGCATGAGCTGTGTTTTCCCTGAAACAAGAATTTGGTATAGCAGTGAGAAATTGTAAGCAAAGGTTAAAAAAATAAGTCAGTCAGAAAGTAGCCTCATCGTCATTCCACCATAATGGACAAACCAAATCACCGTCCACATGAAAATTATTCAGGAACAATAAGATACGTGGCTCAGTCATGCAGCCAGTGGAGTTCAAAGGCATCAAAGCTGTCGTACGCACCACGTATCTAATCTATTTTACACTTCTTCGAACGGAATGATTCAATATCATTTAACCAACTAGGACATTGTGTCCAGTGTCTGGCTATTCCTTCCGAGGTCTCCCATTTTTCGGTGAACGAAATAGATAGAAAAACACACCCTTGTCAAATGGCTTACAGTTGACTAACTGAGCAGAGGCATCGTATGATGCGGACAGCACACTGGCATTTAATACAGGAAGAGATCACTTCAATTCAATCAAGTGTCTGTATCCGGAATTGGTGCTGACTTTTCACTAGTCTGAGCAATGAGCTTGGAGTTTTTAAAAGTGACCATCATAAAGTAAAACTAAGCACTTCTGCTCAAAATGGCCTATTTTACATGTCCCGTGTAATACCATCATATACAAAACAAACGCAGAAGAACATATTCCTGAGAAAGAGTCAGGAAGGCGACACAGGGCAATTACGAGTTTCCCGCACCAGTATGTAATCACCAGCAAGCAGACAACAATAGTCTTGAACAAAACAAATTGTGGTCGCGTTAGCCGCCCGATAGCCAAGAGTCATTTGTTAACGTCGGATATGGTGTATGATCTGGCCGAATAAATCGGAACTTAAACTTTCACGAAGACCGGAACCGAGCTGAAAAAGCGAATGTTTGGATTTTGCCAGCAGACTACAACCTCACTTTGGCCTGTCCCATAAAAAAATACAGATCACGTTTAGAAAATGATGAAATTTCTGGAGGTTCCAGCAGCACTTTCCGTACAATGGTAAAAAGGCAGCGTATTTTCACGCAGGCGATACACTGTGGCCGAAAATGATCATCGTTAGTGAATCTCACAAGAACATACGCTGCACAAAATTGACGTTAGAGTATCGTCGATTTTAGGCGGCAAAGGGATTTGAGGAGGGGACATGCGCACACCGTAGGGGGGTTGCAGCATAACATGGACTGCATCTCGACAACTAGGCTTCAGTGTGCAGTTTTCCACCACAAGCCAGCTTAACTAGCACCAAAAAACCCTGTGCAGGTATTTTGCCATGGTTGGAAAATGGTTTTCTTACTGCGCATCGGCTTCTACGCATCAAAATTGATGCTTTGACCACAAGTCGCAAATCAGCTGATTAGCCTACTGCTGCACACAACGCACTGTTAAGATGTGCGATCACGGGAGCGATTGTTCTCACGCCAAACTGAGGCATTTGATGTTAAAAATCTGGGACGGACGCGTCAAAAAAGGGGGGAGGTTATGGCCACCAGGAAACAAAACGTACTGTTTCCAGCAACCGTTGAGACGGCCAAAGAATTCCAAATAGAAGGATGGAGTATGCGAAAAACAAACACTGGCTTACCACGTGGCAGTTTGGTTGAACAAACATTCGTATCGTTCAGCCACTTCAGCAATGTGTTCACGTACTCGTCGTTCAAGCCAGTCGACCAGCATCTTCATGAGATAAGAAAATATTCAAAATATGAGAAAGAAAACACCAAATTGTGAAGACAGACTCCAAGAAATGACGAGAGTTCCAAAGTTGAATTTCCGTATATTAAAACAATTTTTGAAACGCAATCAGCCACCGCATATGGAAACCTTCGCTTTAAGTCTGCCCACACACCAGACACTAGTAGTACCGATAGAGAAAAAGCATCCACGGATAATTTTAGGCGGTAGGTGGGAGATTTTATCAGCGAAAGGGTACTGAAAACTTGCAATGATGATCACAAGCGCTTACGAGTTCATTCCGAGACAGAGGGATCCTTATAACAGACCACAGCAGCATACAAGGTCATACTGCGGTAATGACTGCCAGTGAGACCAAAAGGATTGGTAACAGCACACACATGTTAGCAATGAACGGACTTGGGAACTCCCAACTTGTGTATGGTGGGATGGCATACATTTCCAAATAGGCCAATCACATCGAACTAAGCCGATGAACTGCCGCACACAGTGAGTAGTGCCACATGCGGTTCGAGGTGACATATGCGTCCCCGGAACGTCCTGTATCCGACGGAAACTTGAAGCAATTGGACCGGGGGGCGAAGAGGATGAGTTAGTTCTAAAAACACCAGCATGCCCAACTGGTGACCCATAAATGTCGAATCAAGTTGGTCAGCGCACGAAAAAATAGGCGCAAGACTTCTCTGAAGCCACAATGCTGCACAAGCATATAAGGGACGTACTATCCAACACCGACCCACCTTGAATATGGCCTCAAAATTGTTGCAGTAAAGGATATTGTACCACAGTTCAAAGAGACATACTCCAAAATCATTTACGAGCCGGCAACAAAGCTGCCAGCATAAATTGTCTAAATTGTTAAGAAGAGAATCGTAGAGTGATGTGACTTGCGAACCCGTCAACGACCGTCTTGTCTCAGGTACAACCTTACTCCGTTGCAAACATGAGAAAAGGCTACGTTGTCCTGTGTAGGGGAATCATGCACTCCGATAAAACTTTTGTGACGCCCGGGATACCGTAGGTAGAATACATGAAAATCAACGCACCTGTGCCTCCCGTAGGCTGCTATCCCGTTCGTAAAGTAGTTTTGCAATTTCCCGTTCTGAATGACGCACAGCCTGAAAAATTCAGATCGAAAGCGGACCAGGTGTAAAACATATGATCTGAATGAAAAAGTCCCGACAGGCACAGTAGTCATTTTTACGGAGCCCATGCCAAAGTAAAGTAAGCAAAGTGAAACAGTGGAAACCTGTGAAAAATTGTATCACCACCAGAAGTGAGCACATAAAAGTCCAGAACTGTGCTCTTTGACATATGGTGCTACAGGATGTACCATTATAATAAATCCCCTGGGGACGCAACTAAGTGGCTGATTGTACTAGCTTCAGAATTTTTGGAGTAAACGATTGAAACAATAACACAAGTCATGCAGGAAGCACAACTGATTCCCAGCTCTAAATAACCCTGCTATATTTTGTGGCCCCACAAAAGGATAAATGAATTACTTACAATATACTTGACATACTTTAGGCCACTGCGCAGGAGAGCTTAATGAATCAGTTAGAAACCGTCACTTTAAAACAAACTGAAAACTCGTGCCATCCTTTGTCAATTCAAGGTTTCTTAAGTTGCCGAAGATTCCGTGGGAGGAAGCAAAGTAGTAGACAGCTCACGATTCCGCTCGGGGAAATATTACCACCTAACTTACAAGAGCCTGATGAGGTTTGTCTGTGAGTTGGGATGACAACCTTATACGACACAAAAAAACATCAAAAACGAAGACCACAAGAATACCTCGTTTAGCTTTCTCATGCGACAACAAAGATTCACAGTATAACATCAAAGGATTGGACTGCAACATCGCTTCAGCTCACAAATTCTTGTTCTCCACCTAATACTGTTTAGTTTCTCACCTAAATCTTCAGACCTCACCCATTTGCGACTCCATAAATCTATACACTTTGATCGTATCCGTCTTCAAATGGGATGTGTGCCTACACAACTTCCTCCTTACCTATTTCTCAGCTTACTATTGATAACTCTTGTACCACCAAACTACAATTGATCCAGCTCAAATTCAGATTTTCCGGGTAAAACAAAAAGTTTGCTTTGTTTGCCGACCTTCAGATGATGATGGTGATGACGCGTCCTCTCCTTCCCACTTGTTGAATGCTAATTGTAAACAGGTGAGTCAATCCTACTTCACTGCAAAAGTGTGTATTCTCGGTGAATCCAACGCCCTTAATAATGGGTGGCTACAGTTTTATTTACACGAAGGTCCCACAAGCCATGCAGTCGAGTTCTTTTCCACGACCAACTTTTTATACATATATTATCCTTATCTATCCTCCAACTTAACGTCCTAACTACAACGATGATGTAAACCCTTGATTCCTCTTTAACCTTACATTCATCTGATTACGTCATGACCTCTGCTGTCCCCCTTGGCTCTTCGGATCACCGTTATATCCATTTCCCCAGTGGTATTCACGCCCGTGGGTAGCAAAGAAGCAAACACGCGTTGAAATATGCATTCTTGCCCATCGACGGTGCTGCTCATCTATAGTCAAAAGAGTCGAAGATGAATTCATTGCACGAAAGATGACTCAGTCATTTAAGGCACGTACCGACGTCGATTCTTTTGGGGTCTGAAAGCCAGTCGACTTGTTTTTCCTCACTCCCTTCCGACGAATGCCTTGAAAGCAGAGATCTTTGCTCAACCTTTACCTCAAGCTCTTCTCTTTCTCCCCCGGTCATTTCAAGAATCGACCAACCACCCTCACGCATTGTTGGTATTTCATTTCTTTGGAGTGTGAAAAAGTCGTCGGCCCTTTCCTTTTCGAACATGACTCCGGGTTCGGCATACGGAACTTCGTGCCAAACTTCCCATGTAATGGTTGCATATAAGACTGGTCAATTGGATTGAAAGACGTATGTATAAGCATTCTGGGCGAACAGTGCGGACGGTGTCATCTACCAGATTCGGAAAGTGAGCACTGGAGTCAATGTGGATCCGTTCTCTCTCCTTTTGATGCGGACGGTCTACTATCGACCGAATAATCCCACGTCATCAAGAGCAAAATGTAACGAGCCTTAACATTTGTAGGGTCTTGTCGTAAGGTCAACAAATATCCAGCAGTTAACCAAATGGCGATGAGTTGAGAGGACAGTTTATATTACCTTGGTTATCAGAAAGTGGGGAGGGAGGCAACATGGACAGCATATAGGTGGACAGAATGGAACAAAGGTTTGATAAGTGATTGGGTCTGGCGGCGTGTCACAGGACTAAGACCAATCCACAATTCGTATGAATCTCCATTATAAGCACACTTTCGGGCCAAGTAGCCGTAGTGTGGCTGCCTCAGCTGCCGCCAAGCAACAGCTTTGGATGGACACTGGTAACCTTGACATCCGTAATCCTTGCAGACGAAGTCAACCTGCACATTCCCTCATCCCACTGCTTTCAACCCTCTGCTTCACCTAGAGTGTGCTACAATCGACAATAGGCCATCAATATCCCAAATATCGACCTTGCCAACATCTTCAATCGTCGAATTTATCAACGCTCAATCGCTCCGAGTCCCCCATCTATCCACCTACCTAATTTCACTCCGATTTAAGGGATCTACTATCAACGCTGACTCTTCACCTTTTACAGCTCTTGGTCCACCTTTTGCTGAAGACCTATCCTGGTCCTCACACGTCAAGACTCAGGTGACGGGGACATCTAGGAGGTTTCGGCGCAAATATCTCACTCCTGCTCAAATGGTTCTACTTTATAAACTCCGAATTCGCCATACTCCAGAATACTTCTGTACTATCTGGGCTAGAGCATCTTCAGTTACTGTTGTGGATTCCACGTGAAACTGCCCAACTCATCGGAATCCCTTCATTGACCGACAAGCTGGAAACATCCTCATCCTGTTTAATCCTACCGTTCGTACGACGGAAGATGCTGATCGAAACAACTTTCGTCCCTTCACCTATATATTCCAATCACGCAACAGGCTTGAGTCACCTAGTCACCCCTATCAAGTTACCACTACACGTTGTAGAACTGATCTCTCCTCATTCTTTTTTCAGGAATGCCCCTCATTCGGAACTCCGCGACGCCTTATCTTCCCTAGCTTATACAACTTTGGACCATGCAAATGTCGAATTAACGTTCATCTCAATCCACCTTAAGGTTTATGTTATTTCCTGTATAGTTTCATGTTGCCTTTTATTGTTATTTACACGGAGTTTGCGACCATGGATCCCCCTTTTTCTTAATTCACACAAAAATTTTTCACATATCAGAAGCTATTACCCATCGAACGGCTGTGCATACTTTCGTGATATGGTGATACTTACCATGAAGTCTGCAGCACTCGTATCGACCCATCCCTTGAGTTCCGACTCCACGCGATCCCCGTAAAGAGCAGCTACAAGCGTCCATGTGTGCTTTTCAAGAGTAAGCAGTTCCAAAATGTTTTTCGCATTCGGAAAACTAAACAAAAAGATTTATTTGACGAACTCGAGAACATACCCTTCCGGATAAACAACGCGCGAGCCAAACTTAGGAAGACGATGCACCGCAAGCTCACATAAACCACTGTACTTCAGAGGTACATCAATGGGTGTGTTCACGGACATACGCCACTGATCATGAAACTGGCTAAAAAGAAATGATCCTTCTGGAGTGGCATAAAGGTCGACCGACAAAACTTACCAAAAACTTCCGGATCCTCATCGATTAGGGTAGTCGTGTTCACGGAAATGTATGGTGTTCTTTCTATCTAAAACGGTCGAGTTCATTGATCATATAAAGAGAAACGAGTAACTTGCATCACACCAACTTTCGACAAGCATTGATTCCACAGGGTTGACAGGTTCCTGAAGAGAAGAACACAGTGCAGCCATTAAAATGCTATGAAGGAAGTCACCAATCAAGCCAAGCAAGTAATTCTGACGAAAAGATTAAGGCCATACAACAAACAATCTGACACAGTATCTAACTAGACGCCAACCTTACCTAAACCTCAACTTCACATCAGAAACGGTTTGGCACACTAAACAAAAAAGGCCCTAGTCAAACCGCATACTGATGATGTCTCCTCGATTGGTGACGAAAAGCCTACAAACAGTCTGTCGAGCTCGGTGATCTGCAATCCGAGCAACTACAAGTAAACAAACTCAAGCTATCAGAAATCCAGTGCATTTCCGGGATTTCCATCAATCTCAATTGAGAAAATTCAAAAACTGGAAATCACTCCCATGATTGAAGAACTTGGAGAAACTTCAAAGGAGCAACCGTATAGTCTTTCATGAATGACAACACTGGCGACCAATCGTTAAAATGGAAGACAACACAAAATCACAGACAACGAACTGAAGACGGTTGACTTTTGTTATTCAACCTAGAACTTTTTATCATTATCGACAGCAAATCGTCAGTAGTATGCCCCAGAGCTTCGTTGTCAAGATTTGCCCGAAAGTCTCATTGTGGCGCCTACATTTACATGAAAAACAACAAAAAGAATGCCATTCGAATTGATTGACAGCCGCATTGTAGTGTCTCAAGCCAAAAAAGAGGGAGGATGCTACGGATACCATCCTCGAAGGCTGGTGGCACTGACAGTACTCAGACTTTCCGTATTCGGTTTTGTACCGCCTGAACAGTGTTGACCACCTCTAAGCTTGCACTACCAAAATTCGTTCTGTTTACAGAACGAACAGCAAACAGGACGATTTACTCAGATCCAGTTCAGTGAGGCGCTTTCAGCCTTGGGGCGGATTGCAACATCCACAACGCAGATACCACGACCCATTGCGTCAAGATCACCGGGTGGTGAAATTTGGAACATCTGAGCTCGTCCTAAGGCTTAAGGTGCATGACTGAAACGAGGTCATGTATGCGTGATTCGGAAACAACATATATCGATAGATTGGGAAGACAAGGATTCAGCAAGAGATGCTTGTTGCCAATTGGACGTTAAAGCCTGCAGTGTGGATCAGATCTTTTGAGGTCATTAGGTGATTATTTTGGTCTGTTTTTCTGGGCAATGGGGTAGACACAGAACAGAGGCTAGAGGGTTGGCAGAAAAGTTGGTGGCATTCTTTCGTTCGGTGGGTGGGAAGGGGGGCTTTCTGGCATGGCTGTACCTCTAAACTCAGTTCCATTCAGTATAGCAGCATGGAAGCCCAACCACCACGACAAGGTAGCAGCTTCAGGTCGGAACGATAATAGCTGGTCGTCTACGTATGTGACGATGTTCGAAGGGCTACCATGGTGGCGGGTTTAGTGCATCCACGGTCTGAACAAAAATATGTTTGTTTCTGACGAGTCTGCCTCCAGAGAGTGCCAGTAGACTCGTGCAGGGGCAAGCGACCATTGTGACTAAACAGATATCCCGATGAAGACAGGAACGATATCAGATACGTCCATTCCTGTTTATCCACTTTTCAAATGCACCGCCTGCGTTTTATCAGACTGTGAAGGAGGCCTTCTCCACCTTCAAGCTATACAGGGATAAAAAAACTTAGTGACGGGTGATTTATCCATTTAAAAACTTCGCTCTAATTTTTGACTTCGTCTTCTGTTAGGACCGCGCAGTTCATGTCCTAGTATGAAACTCGTGGCGCAGTGAAAATTATGCGCGGCGCCTCGGGTTATCTAAATTGTTTTTCGAAGTGTCTGGCCTACCGAAACAAGTATCACCACTCGGAATGGATTTTTCAGCCGTCCTTCTCGGTAATGTCTTCACTGAGCGACAACTTTCTTGACCAGGCGTTATGCGTCGGAAACGAGTTCAATAATTTCCACTCGCCGACGCTTTTCCCACTTCTTAGACCTTAATTTGCCGTCAGTTCAACAGATCAGTATTGAGAATGCGAGTCGGGAGTCGTCCAGATGGGAACAACATCCCCACCTTTATCAGAGATAAGGGTCACTGAGGAAAGCCATATTTGGCACCGTCATCAGGGGTACAAAAGACGAAGTCTCGTAGACATCTACTTAATCGAGGAAATCAGTGCACGCCTTTTAGGAGCGCAGATGGATGTTGTGATCGTGCCCGAAGGTACAAGAAATCGAGGACAACAAACCAAATCAAAACACGAAATTAGTCGACCAGTTACTCACCTGCTCATAGATCGATCGCTCGAAGGACTGAGGTGCAATGATGTTCATTTTATGGACAGAGCCTACAAACAAAAAGACAAGCATCCATTGAAGTTAGTAGCAGCATCAGGGGATTTTGTGATGATCACGGGAATGAAAAAGTAAAAAAGCACCTAGTTTCAAGACGACCCCAGGGGTAAGCATAGTGGGATCTCCTTCAGTGAAAAAGACAGTGAGTACTGAAGAGACCGTCAAGAAGGAAGGGTGCAGAGAGTTCAGTAATGTTAATCTCGTTGACACATGAAAAAATAACAATTGGGTTGCCACCCGAATTCCCGCTGCATCACCGGAAAACGCTCCAGGTGTCATCCTAGGACAGCCTCCTTTTGAAACAGGCACAAAATAACTGTATAAACGGATACGAAATGAGAACAATCGCAGAAGTTCCAGTGAGCGACAATGCAACACAAGACTACTGAAAAGTCCAGCACAGGTCACTAGTAGTTTCGTCCTTCTTTGGTTATCAAATAGGCCTCATTTCAGTGTTTTCATAGAGCTTACGTCCTACCTGAACACGAAGTTGTGCGTACACTCGCAAGCAAACTGAGTTGATGTTGACCGCAGAACGCCTCATCCATTCTATCTAACGAGCTTGTACTCTGGTACGAATAGCTCACTGAAACCGCTCCCAGGAAATGGAAGGATGTCTGTGTTAGACTCGCCCACTAACAGTTTTGTTTCATCAAATTTATTTCAAGTGCTTGGGATATTTGCAATAGGTGCAATTAGTCTGCTTCTGGAACTCAACGCTTTGTGTTATTAATTTCCGAATTGCTTGAGGGACAGTTTAAAGATCTGTCATTTTGAAGCACTTCTCGTAAGCCTTCTTCCTTCGACTGAGTTCATCCATCGCTTCTCCGATTCGATTGCAACCGCAAGTAAAAATCTATAATTAAAGGATAGGAACATCCCATATTTTATATTTCCTTCAAAATACTTGGTAACAGCCCGCCGCAGAGTTCAGAAAGAACTTCCCGACAAAAAGCTGAGACAATTGGAGTCCCGGTTCAACCGAGTTAGGGAGTTCAAAAGCAAAAATTTCTATAAAAACAGGCCACCAGTCACTGGTTTTTAAAAAGTACTTCCAATCGCATCGGGGTATTTCGTAGTACAATAAATTGTTCACGAACATATCTGCCTTTCCGGTCTATCTTAGTGGTGACCACCCGTGTTTGTTCAATGTGCTTGGTACCTCCAATAGCCTTTGGAGTTCCTCTGGGTTTTTCTCATAAAAAACTGTTCAGCTGTAACACCCTTTCGGCGTCTAGTTGCCACGCCACCAGAGAGAAGCATGAGGGCAGGGATACTGCCAGGTTGCCCAACCCTAGACAGGGGAAGTCGAGAGGCAGAGGTCGGGTCCGAGCCACGGACCTTCCGGTCAGTAAATTCGAATTCTAACCACTTGAACCATCTCGCCCTATAATACGATACAAAGTAGTTCCCGTCAGTTCATCGGGCTGTTTCTATCATATTTTCCCAGGCTGCAGAGGTGAATGTAGAAGCGGTGTTTCCACGAGTTATCATACCCTTGACTCGTTACTTTAAATAATCGGACTGAGACTAGCTCAAGGAAGTCGAATGTCTAAGAGATTTCATCAAATACTGGACCAGACTGCTTAACTCAGTCCTCTGAATGAATATTGCGCCAAACCAGCTTAAACTGGAATTAGAACAGTCGACGCAGCATACAGGACAACTGTCTACGGAGCTGTTTACGGAGCTGATGCGGTATTCGTTTCAAGGAAGCCAACGAGCAGTCGAACGAACCAGAAGCTACCCAAGAGGATTCGGCGTCTTCTGGAAATAAAGTCCAAACTATTCTTCAGAAAACAACCATAACATATTCAGAGGACGAAATGGCATTTAGTAAGATGCGGAAACGCTGAAAATCAGGATTTCATTAACTGAACATGTGAAAACAGGCCAGGATATTAGACCACGCCCCAAAAAATTACCATTTTTGTACACGAGGCACCAACAAAGAAACAAGCCAATGACTTCTTGTCGAGGGAGAAGGAAGTGGAACTTATGAGTGACTCAGAAGTTGTACTTGAAGCCTGTGGGGAACATAGCGGGCTTGTATTGTGCTCCAGGGACCTCAGTACATCCAACCTTGACCAGAAGAGGCCAGAAACAACCACTGACCAACTACATCCTTACGGACGAAGATGCTCGAGGACTCTTGCACAAGATAAACCTCTTCAGTGCGTTACAGGTAAACTGAGGTCTATCTAAGGATCCTGAAGGAAACGTGGCTCAGCTTGGTTAACATTTCCGCACGATGCTTTGCCAGTCGTTCGACATAGGCGACATTCTTTCTGCTTGGAAGGAAGCGATTGTCACACCAATTTACAAATCTGGTGGGCGCTAATCGCCTGACGGCTACAGCTCTTCTGACCTCACTAGCGCACGTTGAAGTGTGATGGGACGCATTCTGAAGCAGATCATCACCTAACTACCAAACACTTGATATACCCGGCACAACACGGATTGCTGCAGAACCGTTCTTGCGTG